CATTCCTTGTTGTCGTGCCGCCATACTTGCAGCTTGTACTATTAATGATGACTCATGTTGTTTTTCATGTGATAACTGCGAGGCTTCTCTTCTTTTTGATCGATTCGATTTTTCAGAAAACGGAATTGTGGGACGGCCGAAAGATGTAGATGGCATAGGTTCATTTATTTCAATACTAAAATCACTTTTTAGCCAATTCGAATTTTTTTTCTTAAAATATTCCTTGTTCCGCAACGCTTTAGTCCATCTTTCATCAAAACTGCGACATAAACGATTAATTTTTTCTTTAATTTTTTGTGTATTAGATGAATTTATCTCTTCTCCTACTTCCTCTATAATATGAAGATAAATAGCAGAAAATTTATCGCCTTTGTCTCTTTCTTTTAGCCACAGTTCAAAACAGTCTTCAATTTTAAAACGGTGCATGGCTAAAAAAAATTTTTTTTTTAGAAAGGGTAGCAGTTAGTAGCAAAAAAATTATATTGAATAACAATCACTGATAAAGACGGAATGTTATCGTAGTAAAAATATCTTGGCCAAACTCAGCCAAATTTTTATAAGTCTACCTAAATCTTGGAGTTTACAATTTTTAAAATAAATATACACTATTTATGTATTAATTAATTTAAAAAACTGGGGTGAAGAATTACGTATTTTTGTTTATAACAATTAAAAGTACATACCTTAACAATAATACCACAAGTCACTGAAAATCCAATTTTTAAAAATTACAAAAACAGCTCAGCTTTAAAGTTTGTCTACGCTCGGTGACTGCTTTACCGTAACTGACCACGGACAGAAACTACAACTTGTTGTTACCTGAGTTAGGTAGAAGGGGCGCTCAAATAAAATTCCCATTTAGGATTCGTGAGCTCTGGAGTATTAATTTTTAATATATCGACTTAAAAATGTATTTACTAAGAGTTTAAAAAATTCACTTTTGGCCAAAAAATTCCTTTCTAGAAACCATAGTGCAATCCCAAAAGTTTAATAGAAAACAAAATATGTATATTTTCGTACAATTTAAAAATTAAATAGTTTAAATTTTACACATTGACAAAAATAAAAAAAATCTGGTGTGTCTAACACATGACTTTTCTGTCTAGTTATTAGACTTTTTCCGCTTATTTTCTACAATATATATTGTATCATCCCTGTAAATGTTTAGAGGATGAACTAATTATATACATTTTCCACCCACATCTTACTCGAAACATTTTTTTATTTATATTCAGGGCCAACAAAAATACTGAAAAGTTAAAAGTTTACACTTGTTCTCAAATTTTTCCATTACCGTCCATTTTAGAGAAATCATGTATTGAACATAAATTATGTATAGAGAATGATATCACAAATAGTTTTTTTTTAAACATTCGAATTTTGCACTTTTTGTCAAATTTTAGGAAAATTATGTATATAGGACAATTATAGAGAATAAGCAACTTTTAAAAAAAAGGTATTTTACGAATAAGTATTAAAACATTGTAAATTAAAAATGCTTAATGTAGCAAAATGGTTTCTTAAAGATACAATTCATTAACGTTATCAATTATATTTTAATATCTAAAGGGAAGTCTGCATAAAATTCGCATATTGCATGCAGGCATTTGCATAATTTAAATTGGAATATAAATAAATGTAATAATAAAAATATAATAATTTACTTCTAATAGTCGTTCATTATAATACCCATTCAGTAAAATACAATTTTTTGAAATAACTGGGCAGACTATATAATTTGAAGAAAATGGGAAGAAAAATAACATACATATTATGGTACACGTACTTTATTGGCAGCAGTAAAGAAAAGTTTTTACTAATATAGTAATTCATGGATGGCCGTTTGACCATGGCTGTTCTAAAAAAAGTTTTCCCCAGATTTAAATCTTCCCGCTAAAGGAAGAGGTAGCAATTTGGCAACGTCGCGGTACGGTGCCACCGATTTAGCCGCTCCTTGGTGATTTGATAAGATCAATGAAATAGATAGTTACATAGATTGATCATCCATATTTTTCAAAATAAACATAAGCTTACGCCTTGATATAAAAATGTAAGCAATTATTTTTTTTTTAAATATCTAAAGGCTGACAATTGGTTTTAAAACACACCGATTCAAATTAATAAATATTTGCCAGGCAATATGGCCGCTCGCAAACGACCAGCTTTGAGCAATCTATATAACTATATATGTATCATTGACCCTATTAATGTCAACATAACAACAGGGTTGCCATATCTAAACTGTCATTACCCACTGGTAGCCATTTGGACAGGTCGTTGGAATGCCTAATTAATGTATTCTTTGACAGTTTGAAGGATCTGTCGGCGTGTTGTCTTCTCTTTTTAGCTTTATGCATTTCGGCATATCGTCTCACTCGTGTTAGGCTCACTCATCATAATGCGCCACAGAGACGCGATCAGCCAGAGGACAATGATGTACCAAAAAAATATAGATTAACACGTATGAAAATAAAAATATTAAAATTAAATTTATATTTTTATGTTATTTATGTAATATTAAAATGTGTTTTTATGAAATTTAACTAGGTGTTCACTGCACAAATGAACCAATGGAGAAACCGCCCCTGGCTTGGGGACAATTTAAATTTCAACCAAGAAGTTTTAGAGGAACCAATTCAAGAAAATATTGAAAATGACGATATAGAAGATATTGAGCAAGACAGGAATGCAATAAAAATTAGGAATCGTATTGTAAATATATTATAATTATTTTTAATTTACCTACCTTTGTACAATTATTTTTAGTATAATTTACTTCTTCTATGCAGCCTTTAAAACTAGTTCTTATTTATGTACATTTATTAATACAATAAAAACTGTTTTAGCATTTGGACTTGATTTTATTTCTTGCTTATTTAAATTATAGTACCTAGGTATTTAACAAACAAAAAAAACAGAACCTATTCAAAAATATATATTGAAAAGTAAATACATAAGTAGGTAGCTATTAACAAAATAAACACAACTTAAACACAAAATAAAAATCAGCCTTTCAAGGAACTAAAACTTAAAAACAAAAATCAGCCTTTTATAGAACCAAAACTTAAAATCTTAACAATAAACAGGCAAAATACATTTTATTATTTAAATAAAATATTTTTATTTATAAACAATGTATAATAAAAACAAAAAAATAACAGCCTTTTTAAGGAATTAAAAATAAAATATTTACAATAAAGAAGTAAATGAAGACTCTCCACTCTCAGTTAGTTTTGATCAAATCGTTTCTTTCCGCTAAAAGGTAATTTCTACGTTTAATTTCTTTTACTTTTTGTTTCTTGATTTCTATTTTTTTTCTCCTTCTATTTTTAATCTTTTGCTTTGGTATTCTTTCCTCTCTTTTCTTATTTCATCTAAGATAGCATTTCTATTGACTAATATTTTGCTTGCTTTTTTTGTTTTGTGTTTTTCATTTGGAATCAGCACAGGAATTGTATTCTCCTGATTATTACTGGGGCCGTCAAATCTTTCATCAGATATTTCATCTATTGTTGTTGATGAAAGAAATATTTCGGGTCTAATATTTTTTTTTTGCCCAAGATTTCTTCCATTTGTTGGGCATATGGAAATATCTTACGGCCTCCCCCAGTTTGTTTATTGTTGTCTACATACTTCTTAAAGTTTCGATCAAGGACCCGCCGGGTCCGGTAAAGGATCCTGAGGTGCGAAATTCACAAAAAATGTTTAAACACTCAAAAGTAACTAGTTTCTATAGTAAATTTTCGAAAAAAAATTTATGGATGAAGCAGTATTTTTCGAAAAAAAATTAATTAAAAATCCCAATTTTACAGGTTATAATCACAAAACAATTACCTACTTATATGACAGTTGATGTCTTAAAAATAACAAACGTTGCCAAGTTGTTAATAAAATTATAAGTTTAAGGATTATTTAAAATTTATAAATTATGAAATTATAAAAAAGAAGTAATCAAAAATAATACATTTTTCGTTTGCTTTAAAAAGATAAGTACGGTAATAAACGTATATAAAATGAAAAAATTAATTTTAAAAATGCAGCTCAAAAAACTACATACAAAATTAAAAAATTAAATCACTTAACATGTAATACCTAGACAACTTTTTTAAAATTTTCTTTCACTCAAACGAAACAACGGCTTCCCGTAGGGTGGCGGCTTCGCCGTCACCAAAAATGTTTAAACCCATACCTGGCTACGCCTACCGGCATAGACTCCAACGGCCTGGACACAACTCAAATTGAAATGAAAAGTCTCTCTCGTGTCTCTATGCTGTACAGCCTGGACTCATTTAAATAAATAAATAAATTATATAAAATATATTTTCAAAAAATAAACAAAAATTCTTAAAAATTAACAATGATTCTAAAAATAAAAAAAAAAAACTAAAAAATAAACAAATAATTCTCATGTAATTAAACCAAAAAATAAATCTAAAAAATAAACAAGTCTCAAAAGTAGTACAACAAATAAATAAATCTAAAAAATAAACAATTAATTTCAAAAATAAAAAAAAATTAATATTTTTCCGCAATTTGCGTTAGCAAATTATTCATTTTCGCATTAACATCACTACCGTATATCTCCTCCCACATAAACTGATCTATATACTCATGTAGAAAGGGACTGGACATTACACCTAATCTTCTTAAATATTGCTTAAGTTTAGACCAGTACCCTTCTACCTGATTTGTACAAACACCAGTAACCGGATCTTTAAAAAATTTAGAGTGGTTGACACTTTTATGTATATATCCTAAATTCTTCAAATTGTCATAACTTTTAAACTTGTCCGTCCATATTTCAGAGCCAGGACGGACATGTGTTTGGATTATTTCCTCCAATACACCTCGAGTTCTATTAGGAATATACTGGATATAACCTCTTTTTAAAGAAACGTCGTAAATGCCTAATATCCAGCGCTCCGGTACTACTCTTCCCCTATGATACTTTCTCTTCGAAATAACAGATTCGTCAATTTGTATTGTGAGCCCCTCGCACCCTATAAAAACAAAAGTTTATTTTCTCTCTCATTTATATTATAAAAAAAATCATTACCTAACAAGAAATCTTGATCTCTCAATACCTTCCATGAAATAACGTCTCTAAAATATCTATACAATTGAATCACTGAGGGTTTAGACAAGTTCGTTGCAGCCACTGTCACTCCAACCCGGCTACCAATGGCCCAGTACCACATGATTAATATAATCATACGTACATTAACATTAATGTTTTCGAAAAAAGAACCCTTAAATTTTGAGTAAGTTTTTCTACACTTTTTGCAAAAATATACATAATTAATTGAATTAGAACATTGTCTTTTGTGGATCACACACTCTCTCCTACATGTTGGTATCTTACACCTACATTTTTTAATTAATTTTTTGTCCGTTAACCATGATAACAATTCTTCATCCGTTTTTTTGTAAATGTCCACAACATCAATAATATTTTTTTTATCCATTTTTAACAAATACAAGCACAACAAAGTAATAAATCGGGACGGTGGTGTAGCGGTCTATCGCGCTTATATTCATTTATAGGCAAGTTTATGAGTCTGAGACTGCTGGGCTTCCAATTTCAGACCGGACCATGTGGATTTTTAATAAAATTGCATGGTTCGGTTTAGGATTTGATGTGTGGCGTATTAATAGAAATTCAATTTCTGTTGATATGACATGCAGATTAAAAAAAAAAATCGCCATGCATTACCGTCTCGATGATGGTGGGTGAGGTTTTCCGGGTTTTCCTCACCTGTCAGTCAAATGGCACCATCAATCCTCTTTAAGTCGCCCCGGAGCGCCACGGCAAATAATAATAATAGCCGTCCCTTCCCCTACACAAGTCGTTCAGTCGACTTCAGGGGTTGAAATTCACTCGTAAGGGGGTGAATTAGGGAGAGTATTATTATTATTATTATTATAATTATTAATATATTTAATATTTGATTGGTAATTAACCTATAACCAATAATTATATTTTCTTTGTAATTCACATGTAACCAATAAATATATTTTCTTCTTTTCTTCTCATTCATACAGAAATCTTAAACTTGGAAATTATCAGTGATAAAAATCAACAATATAGTATGGCAACGTTGCAAACTCGGTTCACGGAAAAGAAAATCGTCGAGTGTGAATTCTACCAAGACACGGAAAAAATTCGTACGAATTTTTTCCGTACGAACAAAACCGTTGTGTCTGAAAGAGTCCTATGTGTCAAGAACTGAAAATTTTATGAATCACTTTATTTTAGGTTTTATGAAAGGAAATAATGAAAAGTTAGGTTAAATCGGTCAAAATATTGCATTTTATTATAATATAAATGAAAATAGCAAATTAAACGTATTCTTCCATATTTAATTTCAGTTAAAATATTATAAAAAGTAAGTTACTTCAATATATTAATGCTAAAATTATGAAATTCGCACCACAGGATCCTTTACCAGAACCTTCATTTTCTTCAGTTTGTGATTCTGGTAGAATTACAAACTCTATTAATTCTGCAAGGAAAAAATACATATTTAGAAAAAATGTAAAAAAAATACCATTTTATTACCTTCCAAATTGTTCATAATTAGACTAATTGTCTTCCTATTCTAATTTGTTAAATATTTATCTGGATCTCGCCGGCGGATTGAACTAATACAATTTTTAGATAAAACCACGATAAATCTCAGAGGGTTCTACTATGATAAAACTAAAAACAAAAACACGGTGTGGAATAAAAAATATAATTGACATTTGACAAGCGTGATGACACTTGGCAGTCAGAATTGCGTTCCAACAAGAATTTAGTCAGAAAACAGTACACAAACAGTGCAGTAGTCACGCCTGCGCAATAAACAAATCAGAGATTAATTTCGGATCGGTCATGGATTCCTTGTTGGAACAAACCTTAAGTTACATTTTTAATTATTTTTTTTGTAACGTTTTTCATTATTGTGAATTATTAAATGTGTCCGTAAGTCAGATTTGTGATTAAATCCTTTTGAACAAATGTCGCATATAAATGGTTTTTCATTACTGTGAATTATTAAATGTTGTTTTAAGCAAAATTTTCGATTAAATCCTTTGAAACAAATGTCACATTTAAATGGTTTATTATTCCTGTGATTTATCAAATGTTGTTTTAAGTTAGATTTGTAATTAAATCCTTTTGAACAAATGTCACATTTAAATAGTTTTTCATTATTGTGAATTATAATATGTTGTTGTAAATTAAATTTTCGATTAAATCCTTTGGAACAAATATCACATTTAAATGATTTTTCATTACTGTGAATTATTAAATGTTTTCGTAAATTAGATTTTAAATTAAATCCTTTGAAACAAATATTACATTTAAATATTTTATCATTATTGTGAATTATTAAATGTGTCTGTATGTTGGAAACGTCATTGATTTTCAGAGAAACTGTTCTTGATCTTTTTTTTATTACATGAATAAATTGGTGCCGAGAAAAATTCATTTTTGTCATAAATCTTCCACAAAATTCACAAACCACGAAGTCTTTCCCAAAATGTTCGTCGATATGTTTCGATCTTGATTTAGGAGAACGAAAATCTGCAAATAAAAAAATTCTGTTAAACAATTTAAAATTAAATAATTTAACAAATTACCAATAATTTATTAAGAACTTTGTTCATATTGTATAATTGCCATATTTCAAATATTGTAAAAATTTTATAATGGTACAATTGTCAAAAAAATATTAAATATGGCACGCTATTTGATAGCCACAGGCATATAAAATGTAAGATTTATATAATTAATACTGTTTTATGAATTTTTTATTTTATAGCCGAAATCATCATTTCAAAAACTGGTTCCAAATTCATATTTAAAGTTCCACACACTGTGGTCTGATTACCTTTCTCGATTTAAATAAATAAAAGAAACTAATGCATTCCTTGGATAGGCTTTATTTTGCTTAAAGTGTATTTTAAATTGCCTCTATAAAATCATATTTTTGATATAAACAAATGTTTTATGACCAAAATGAAACTCGTCATCTCGTCAGTTTCTAGAAGTGACAATATTTAACGTTCAAATTAATGATGATGATCAATAGAAATAATTCAACAAAAAAAATATGGAAAAGATCAATAACGAAGATAATAAAATACAACCAATTATTGTAAAACCAAAACCAAAAAAATATAGACAGGAAAGAATTTTACAAAAAATATTTGGAACTAAAAGAAAAACGCAATTTTACAAGAGAGAAATAAATTGTTAGAGCAAATAATTGAAAAAAATATTCATACTAATGCAAAAGATCTAATTTAATATTTATTTATTTAGTTTTTATTTTATTTATATCTTGCTTTCATTATGTTTGTTAGAATTATATTTTAATTTTATCCTTTTTTGTTAGAAGTATATTTTAATTTTATTATCTTTTTTGTTAAAATTATTTTTTGACTTTAATGCTTTGGATATTAAATGAAACAATGCGTTTATTAATTATTTTTACTTTCCTATCTGTAGACAGATAAGGAATCATGATTTTTTTCGACCTCCAGTTTTCGACTGATTTTTCCGTTTTGGGGTCCCCTGAATCCGTTTTGACTATTTTCGGGATGATGTCTGTGTGTGTATATGTGTCTGTATGTGTGTGTGTCTGAGTATGTGTGTACGTGCGTGTGTATAACCTGATAACTCATGAACGGATACAAATAAAAACACCAAATTTTAAACTTAAGCTTCATTCAGACCTCCAGTGAATTGTTTAGATTTTGGACAGAGTCGGAACATCGGGGGATGCCTTATAGGTGATCATTTTTATATTTTATGAAATATATCTGTTATTTACGTTTGGAGAAGAAAATTCTTCAAATAAAAGTTACTTACCATATTATTTTTACTATAATTTTTATTACATACAAAATTTTCCTAAAATGGTCCGCATTCGAGAAATTTGACAAAATCACATTAAATTTGAAACTTAAGTTTTATTTCGGTCTGAGGCAAAAGGATTACATTTTGAACAAAGTCGGAACATCTGGGGGGTACTTTAAGAGAAGCCGTTTTTATATTTTATGGAATATATCTGTTATTTACTTTTGGAGAAGAAAATTGTTCAAATAAAAGTTACTTCTAATAGAATTTGACAAAATGTGTAAAATTCTGATTTTTAAGAAAATTGTTAAACTAAAAGTTGTTTGCGATATCTATCTCTATAATTTTTGTTTTTTACATGATTTTTCTAAAATGGGCCGTAATGGAAAAATTGGAGGAAAAAAGCTAAATTTAAATTTTTCAGTATTTTCATTTTCAATTAATATCTTTAGAAAAATGTTTCGAGTTAAATGTTTGTGGAAAATGTATATATTTAATTTATCTTCTAAAAAAGTCTATAATAACTAAATAGGAAAATCATGTATTGGACACATCAGATTTTTAATAGTTTTCAGCTTTGATCATAACAGAATCAAAGTAATAGTACATTATATACCTAGGGTGAGAAGTGTGCTAATATTTACCGAGCACTTTTATATCCTGAGGAGCGTAGCGTGTGTGTGTGTGTGTGTGTGTGTGTGTGTGTGCGTGCGTGCGTGCGTGCGTGTGTGTGTGTGTGTGTGTAGGTGTGTGGGTGTGTGTGCGTGTGTGGTGTGTTAAGCTTTATTCCGGCCTGCGGTGAATTGATTAGATTTTGGACAGAGTCGGAACATTTGGGGGGTACTTTATTGGTGATCATTTTTATATTTTATCGAATATATCCGTTATTTACATTTGGAAAAGAAAATTCTTGAAATAAAAGATACTTACAATATTATTTTCTACAATTTTTGCTCTATACAAAATGGCCCGTATTCGAGAAATTTGACAAAATGTAAAAAAAATATTTTTTTATAAAAATTGTTTAAATTAAAGTTGTTTGTAATATATTTCTCTATAATTTTTATTTCATACATAATTTCTCTGAAATAGACCGTATTCGAGATATTTGAGAAAATGTGTAAATTTCGAATTTTAAAGAAAACTCAAAAACGGATAGGAAAAATCATTAAATTTTAAAATTAAGTTTTATTTCGGTCTGATGTGAAATAATTAGATTTTGGACAAAGTCGGAACATCTAGGGGGGAGTACTTTATGGGAGGCCGTTTTTATATTTTATGGAATATATCTGTTATTTATATTTGGAAAAGAAAATTGTTCAAATAAGAGTTACTTCTAATATTATTATCTATAATTTTTGTTTTATGTAAAATTTTCCTGAAATAGTCCGTATTCGAGTAATTTAACAAAATGTGCAAAATTCTGATTTTTAAAAAAATTGTTAAACTAAAAGTTGTTTGCATTTCTATAATTTTGGTTTATTCACGATTTTTCTAAAATGGACTGTAATGGAAAAATTGGAGGAAATGTGCTTTTAAATTTTTCAGTATTTTCGTTTTCAATGAATATCTACAGAAAAATGTTTCAAGGTAGATGTATGCGGAATATGTATATATTTA